AGGGAAAGACTTGGAGACAGAAACCATAGGATATAAAGACAGTCAAGAGACACACACCTTAGAGAAAAAGCATACTCATGAGAATATGAAAGAAACTGCAATTCAGACAGAAGACCTCATTATTTCCGAAGGCCCAAAGGAGCCGCCGCCAGACCTTAAACCAAAACCAAACTTGAGGACAGGACATCAGGTTCCCAGTTCTGCAGGTTCGCCTGATAGTGCTGTGGCTAATCCTCTGAGAACTGTTCCTAGAATGGCTAGAGACACTGGTACAGTTCCTTTTGCACCAAATTTGGAAGACATAAACAATATTTTGGAGTCAAAATTTAAATCTCGGGGTTCAAATCCCCAGGCCAAACCAAGTTCTTTTTTCTTACAAATGCAGAAGAGAGCATCAGGTCACTATGTGACATCTGCCGCTGCCAAGAGTGTCCACACTGCCCCTAATCTTATTCCAAAGGAACCGACACATGCAGAGGTAGAAAGGGATCTGCAACTCCCGCCAGAGCAGCCTCTTTCTCCCTTAAGTAAAACAACTCACCTTCCTCTCCCACATCCCATTAAAAGTACCGGTGATGACATCATCAGTCAGAAGCCTGTGGAAACCTCTCCTCCTCCCACAGCTCCAAAACCTGTGCCTCTTCCTACTAGTCAGGTAGCAGCACTAAACCTGAAGACTTTGAAAACTTTCGGTGCCCCACGACCTTTCTCCAGTTCTGCTCCTTCGCCATTTGCCCTTGCTGTAGTGAAAAGGTCACAGTCTTTCAGTAAAACACGTACTGAGACATCCAGGGATGGTGCACCTGTCCAGCCTCTGAGTGACACAGAAAAAGGGAACACTCATTCTGTAAATACATCAGTGGACATCCCACAGCTTGGTGTGACTGATCAGGTAAACGTTACCTTTTTAAAAATAAGTATTTGGAGCTGAACGATAGCACACATTGCTTAATGCTACATTTTGGCAAACTAAGCCCACATGGGAAGCCCAGGTTCAGTTTTGCTCTATCTTAAATACTGAGCATGGTGGCACAAGCTTGTAATCCAAGCTACGCAGGAAGCTGAGGCAAGAGTATTACAACATAGTGAGACAGCGTCTAAAAAAATTAATTGGTCTCTATCGAGGTTCTTCAGATGAAGGTTAACAAGCATGATGGTAGGTTTGCCTGTTACCTAATTTTGAATTCACAATAATCTGATATCAAGCTGTTTTAAAGAAAAGAGAGTGGTAATATATAGAATCTGATTACTCTGAGAATTATTTAAATACTTTCAATATTACTATATGGTTCCATTATATAATTGTATAATTAGCAAATGTTTTAAAGTTTCTATGTTCATGTATTTGTATAGTTTAGTTTACAGTTATATTTCATTTAACTTCTCTTAATTTGTTTTTTAACTTTTCTGGATGGCCTGGTTTATTTCCTTCTCCAATTTCATAGTAATATATAATGTAATAATTTTGTAGTAATATATAATCAAAACGAACAGTTTTAATTGTGTGGAAGCATAAGCAATGTCAAAAACTACATAAAAATAACCAAGTATCTCTCACTCATACATTTTCCATCATGCATATTCAACCTTAGCTTATTAAACAGTTTTACATATAAATATTTTACATTGAAAGTAGAATTTTAAAAATATAATGCTCTTAATTTTCCATTTTGTTAATGCTATATCAGATTTTCTAGTTATACTGACCAAAACATCAACTAATCATTATCTAAACTTAATAATTTATAAAAAAGGAATATTGTTCTTTTGACAAAAGGATAACGAAAGACCAAATATAAAGATATTTTTACAAATATCTATATCATATATAATAGCTACAGTTCTTGAAATGTGACAGCATTTATACTGTGAGACTAAATTAAGACTTAACATATATAGAAGATTATTGGTTTATACAACTTTGATATTTCTTATAAAAATTTTTTTTTATTTTAAAGGGGGGGTTGTTGTTGACATAGTGTTTGGTCAATAAAGTGTATGTTTTTCTGGGTTTAGATATATAGACAGGGCGAGGTTCGCATTATAAATGGTGATACTTCACATGAAATTTTAAAGAAATACTTTGTATACTTTTACTCTGATAATGTATAAAGAATACTTTCATATTTGTGTGACAGTTCCAGAAGTATTTTATGCTACTTTTTCAAACATTCCTAGAGTAAGAAAACCATTAACCATATTGCCAAGTAAAATTTTTCCTTAATTTAAAACAGATAGTTTGAAGACTATTCACTCACACATTTTACATGTATGTTTATTATTTTGATATAGTATTAGGGAGAGATGTATGATAGAGAGATTAATTATTGGGAACAAAGCCTATTTTTTTTTCTTGGAATAGAATACCACTTCTAAACAATGGAAGATTTAGATCGTACAGCTTTTGAATCATTGCCTGAGCCCTGTTTAGCTCATTTTTTTTGTAAAGATATTTCTTTGGCAGTTTGAAAAAGACATTTTCCAGAATTCTTGATAACATTTGCCAGATAAATCATTTATTTCTCTCCTAAAAAGTATTATTTAATTTTTGATTCTTTAGTTTGGAATTTCTTTATTTTTAATCTCAGGGGAAAGGTAAAGAAAACATAGTCAGCACTTAGTCTTTGTGAAACAGAAACACAAAATAAGCTATTAATAGCATAATTACTCGTATTTATTTATTAGAAGAAATACTGTATTCAACCAAATTGAAGTTGCTAATATTTAACAGTCTTCACATTCAAAAAATAGTAATTTTACAACCGAATACATTGGAACTATGAAAATGGGTTATTTTTCAGTTTGTGGCATTCTTTTCAATTATTAATTTGACTCTTCTGGCCTACTCCGTGTATTGGCAAAATCAGCTTTATTTGGCTCAAGCATAGTAATGTCACTGCTGTGTTCATGAAACAAAGAGAGGTACCACATTTATTCCTTAGCTTCCTGAGGGGGAATGATGAAGTCCTTATCTTCCAATTTGACTATGGAAACATTTGTGGGTGAGAAAATAGAGCTGTGTCTAAAACACCAACATAGCAAATGCGATGTTTAATAAACTACTGCTGGTGAAATTTGTGAAAAAATAGCCCATTCTTCTCTTGGTAGTCATATAAATATTTCATATTCATTTTTATAGGGAAATAACTCTGCACATAATAAACAGAATCCCCAGATACCACCTCCAACCGACTGCCCATCACTTACCCTTAAGAGACAAAGTTCTTTAACATTCCAAAGCTCTGACCCAGAGCAGCTCCGACAGACTTTGCTGACTGCAATCCGTTCTGGAGAGGCTGCTGCCAAATTGAAAAGGGTAAGTTTTCTTTATTATATGGATGGCAGTGGGTTTATCTTCAACATTGTTCAACTAATACTTAAGAGCAGTTTTTCTTTCTAGCATTTAAATCTGCATAGGGCTCCAGAAGTTACTTTTTTAATGTTAGGGGTCACTTTTGAAGTATAAGCTGAAAGAGTCCAGAGTTTTACACATACTAAAAAATATGTCAGGTCTATTTTCCACAACACGGGCCAGATGAAGAACATGAATTTCTTTCATTGTTGCATAACTATAAATAGCAAATGCCCTAGGCTCTTATTTTAAGAAATTATGTTAGCACAGCAGGAAATATTCTTTTGAAAATATCTCCCTATCCCAGAAAGGTGAGCTAATGCTAGGAACCTGGAAGTTTTCAGTCACAGCCCCCTCAGTCATCAGTTACTACCACAAGTGGGATTTAGGAAAAAGTTTTAATGGTTAAACCAAAAACACAGAGAAAATCTAGAGAATTTAGATAAGAATTAACGCAGAAATTTGAGTCTTCCCAACACCTTGCCAAAGTTGTCTAGAGCCTCCTTACTATGGTATAGGAGAGGGTCTGGAGAGAAGGTATGTTTCTTCTAGGGGCAAACTCCAAGCAAGTGTTGCAGAGAATTCTTTTCACCTGGGTTTTCTCCTTCTGTCCGCTTCATCCCCTGAAAGAGAATGAAAGCACAGAGTGAAGCTCTGAGCAAGGCATCATGAGGTAGATTTCCTAGAGGTGTCCTCTCCCTAAAACTCTTTCCTTTTAAAGTTTTTGTTTGTTTGATTTTGTTTTTGTTTGTTTTTGCTCTTGGGCATGTGCACTGACCAGAGAGAGACAGAGAGGGAAAGTGAGAAATCACTCCCCCAAGGTGATCGACATACCGCAGCCCCTTCTCCTCCCTCCTCTTCTTGGGATTTTGAGCATGCACACACACACACACACACACACACACACACACACACACACACCTAATGTGTTTTCCAAGCTGTTAGGTCCAGGACTCAAGCTATGCAGTCAGCCATGCGGGGTCCACCATGCCATTGGTTGGCCTGTCTCTTTCTTATTCTTCCCTTAATCCTGGGTGGTACCCCCTCAATATTCAAGATAAGAAAAAGCTCATATTTTATTGACTCCTTCAGTACTCTATCTTGTCAATTCCTTCTTTAGTCTTTTTTTTTTTTTTAAGAGAGATTTTTGCTATCGTGCATGTATGCTCACTGGAGAGACAGAGAGGCAGAAAGAGACAAATCACCCCCCTCCCCCCACCCGCCGCCCAAGGGGAATGGCAACACTACAATCCCTTCTCCTCCATCCTCCTATTATGCGCACATGTCCGGAATGAGTGATAAGCCACTGGGTCTGGGACTTGAACCGCGGTCGACTATGTGGGAGTCCAGCAACATAACCATTACACCATCTGTTGGTCTCTCTTCTCTAATCAGTTTAGAAGCCATTTAGAAATGATTAAGAAGACTTGAGCCAAACACTGAGCTCAACAGAAATTAAATCTGCAAAAGAACAGGAATACTGCAAAGAGAAAAAGAGGGGAAAGGCATCAGATCTCTCAGCTACATCAACATTGTGCAGACCTGACTGCTCCACCCCTTTTCCTCAGTGTGTTTGTTTGAGCCATGAGTAACAGGCATTCTTCTCCCAGAGGATTTGGCATTCCGGTATGGGCAAACATGGAGATGGGGCAAAATACTGGATGCTATTAGGAGTAGAGGAAACAGGGAAAATTTTATGGATTAAGTTTGATTTTTGTTGATTATTTGTTGAGTCTGCATGTAGGTGTCAGGCAGCAAAAAAATTTAGCATAGTATTGAATATTTCAGAGGGCATGATAAATTCAAATTTTTAGGCAGGGTTACCCAGGTTAATAAATTGTAAATCCTCACAAATTTTTTAAAAATTTTTGATGTTGTAAATCAAGGATGAGTTTTAAAAGTTTCAAACCAGCCACTACTAGTTTCTCAGTTCAATAAATTTAACAACTTTTTTTCTTTTTTAGTTTTTGAGATGGGACACATACACTCACCAGAGAGAGAAAGTGAGAAATCGCCCTCTACAGGGGCAATGGCCACACCACAATACTTTCTTGTTCATACTCTTCTCGGAAGTCTGGACATGCACACATACATGCTCCCTGTGGGGATTTTCCAGCTACCAGGTTCAGGACCCAAACTATAGTCAGCCATGTGAGATCCAGTGTCTTAAACTCCACACTATTTGCTGGTCCAATTTGACAATATTTTCAAAAATTATTCTAGATACTGGGGATATAAAAATGAACAAAATGAAGCCTGTGCCTTTTATGCATTTATAGCTTGGGCCTGAGAAACTGATAGATCATGTACATAGGAAAACCAAGTAAACTATACAGAAACTGATTGCCATGTCTTTGTGCTAAGCCAATGAAGATACTAGTTTCAATGAACTAATTGCAGAAAACTATGCATTCAGTTGGAAGTACCTTTTAGACCAACAGCACTGTGCAGACCAGCGGCTATATACCTAGTGTGTAATAAACCTGATTCGGCAGTCCTTTCACATAGCAAACTCTCATTTTTTTCCCAAAATAAGCTGAGAGTCAACACAGAAAGTAGGCCCTAAATGATAATCCTATAATTATATCTTGCTTAAAACTCAATTACTTTAGGTTCTATTGAGTCTAAAATTGTTTCTCTTTCAGTAGGTGGCAGTTGATAGCTCTGAGGCTATATTATACCAGTTCCAAATATTTTTAATGAAAATTCTCTATATAATCTGTTTTATTTCAGTAATAAATGGTCATAGGATCTATCCACTGAAGTTCACAATATTCATACCTTATGACCAATATTTTCACTTCTAGTTACAGACCGTAAAAAAACATGTTTTCATGTACCCAGTCTCATATGTAAAAATGTTCATGGGGTATCATTTGTGATAACTTTAAATAAACATAATCTGAATATCCAAAGTAGAAGAATAAAAAGCAGTATATTCAAAGAATAAGCTATCATACAGCAATAAAATAGACAAAATACAATGAAACTCAGCAATGTAAATAGAAATACACAAAACTACATATGTGTAAAGTTTGACAGTGTCTAGAACTTATTTATATTATACAATGATGCAAACATAAGTGTTATTTTATTTAAATTTACCAGAAAGCATGAGCATCTGCCAAAGAGAGAGAGAGAGAGAGAGAGAGAAAGCAAGCAAGGAAGTGCCCCACGTGAGGAGTGCCCGCACCTCTATCCCCTCTTCTCTGTCTCTCGCTCCTTTTCGAATGCACACATGTACCTGGCATGGTTTTCAAGTTGCCCAGTCTAGAATTTGAACTACTGGACATCTGGCTGCCTTAACTACCATGCCACAGGGTGGACCCCAGCAGTTACTATAAAAGCAAGGAAATATTTATAAAAATCATGATAGTAGATACTTCTAAAAGAGAAGAAAAGAGGTCATTGAGTGCTTATTAGAGTAGGACACACACATAATTTAAGGGAGAACCAAAACACTAAGTAATCAAGAGAAATGTTATTTTAATGCAATATACTTAAAATATCCAAATTTATGCAAAAATCTATGATAAAATATCAGAATTTTAAATAAAGACTAGATCAGCTTGGGACCAGGAAGTCTTTTTTTCTTGGCCTGGGTGGTGGACTGTACCCATGTTGTTTGCTTTCATAGGGCTGTTTGTTTATGCTTAGTGCCTTTTTCTGTTCATATATTCTGTTAACTTTGCAAAAGTTATTAATTAGGCTCTTCGGGCTTTGTGATCTTTGCTTAAGTCCCATGTTTCTGTCCAATACTGAAAAGTTCTTCTAGTTTCTTATAAATTCTATAATTTCTTTTATAGAACAACAATTCTACTTAACTATTTTATAGAACAATAATTTTATAGAATAATAATTGCCAAATAAAATCTCCAGTGATTTTGCCAGATTTAGATTGCTCATTCAAAAGTTGGCTATGTATTTACCTGTATCCTGGCACCAAAATGTTCAGTTTAACTCCAGGTACCAACCTGTCTTATGGCTCTGGTTCATACTGTGAGCAATGGACCTTCATTATAATGGTTGGTTCCTATCGGAACAATTATCTAGCTGATTGCCCTAGAGTAAAGGTAATCATGAACATGCACATTTCTTCACATTTTTGAAGGCTTTTTTATATCTCAGACCCACTCAAATCCCACGTAGTCACAAAAATAAGTCTTTTTTTTTTTAAAGAATTATTGTATTTAACTTTAATTATTTTAATTTGGCCAGAGAGGAAGAGAGAAAAAGAGAGAGAGAGAGAGAAAGTAAGAAAGCAAGCCACCAGGTCCAGGACTCAAACCATGCTCAGCCATGTGGGAATCTACCGCCCTTAACCACCACACCACCTACCAGCCCCCAAATTAGTCTTGTCTTTATTACAAAGCATTACTAAATACAATTCAATATTTTACAAGTTATGTAATACTAATGTTTACATGTGTAAATTAGCAAATCATTTACAGAAAAACCAGCAAATTAAGTCCATTATTTTTGGTCCCTGCTGACACAGAGCTTCTTTGGCTGCTTTCAGTACTTGATGGTATCTAAGTTACGAGAAATCAGGCATTACACTATTACAAAGAGAATATAGGTTTGTAAGGTAGACTGAGAATAAACTGGTGAATGATAACTGACACTTGATGTTAAGTATTTCCTCAGAATGTAACATTTATCTTTGTCTAGGTAGAAGGCTAGAGCAAGGAAAAAACTCAGTGAATCACCCAGAATCTTGTGGATTTTTCTGTTTATTTCATTGGACGACTGCTTTTTATTCATATTCCCTTGGTTTGAATTTGAACAACCACAAGGTTTCAGGTTGTAAGCCGCGCACCTCTATCCCCTCTTCTCTGTCTCTCGCTCCTTTTCGAATGCACACATGTACCTGGCATGGTTTTCAAGTTGCCCAGTCTAGAATTTGAACTACTGGACATCTGGCTGCCTTAACTACCATGCCACAGGGTGGACCCCAGCAGTTA